TACTCAATAAGCAATTTCCATATCGAATTTCAAAATTTATTTTCCTTTTAAAACTGTCCTAAACAAAAATACGAACACATCAAAACTTTTAAAGTCCTTCAAAATATTTAATACAATTTTGAAAACTTTCAAAACCAACTAGATTTTCATAAACAAAAGTCTTCAAATAAGATAAAATTTCCGGTCAATCAAAACAAACTTTCATTCTTTCAAAACAAACTTGCATTAATTAAAAACCAACTTTTAATGATTCAAAACAATCTTCCATTCATTCGAAACAACCTTTCATTCGATCAAACTTCAAATCATTCAAAACAAACTTTCTTTCAATCAAAACTTTCAAAATTTCTTCTAAAACATTGGGTACAACTTTAAAACTTTCGAATAACTAAATCATTCAAACATTCAAAACAATTTTACATTCGTTCATACTTTCAAAATGAGAGCGGAAGATTGCATTATTTGGGTAGCCTATAGAACATATATGGTTACCTGTCAGTAACACCAATCAATCAGAAGCTTCTATCACAGTTGTCGAATTAATATCGACCAGAACAGAGTTGTCGAAATAATATCAACCAGAACAGAGTTGTCGAAATAATATCGACCAGAACAAACAGAAAGGTTACTTAAGTGTGAGGCCATGTGAGTGAATAACACACACATGAATCTTCATTCCCAATGATTGCCAAAACCACAAAAGTGTCTTCCCACAAATTAGCCATGACAGAAATCCATCAATTCCAAATTAGGCTACTACCCCAAATAAGCAAAACGTTCCTCAAAACAAAATCATGGCATATCCGGATAGCCCTATCAAATCAATCAAAATATCTTTCAAATAAAATGCAAAATAAATACTTACTTTCAATATTAAATTAACTCAAAACATTGAAATAATTTAAAACAATCTTTATCAATCCTCCAAAATATGATTTCAAATATTTCACAAATAAACAAAATATCAATTTCAAAGCTTTAAATAAATCTAAACAAAACTTTATCAAATAATATAAGAACACTTCAAATACTTTGCAAATAAACATAATATCAATTGTCAAATTAGTTTTAAAATCCATAATAAAACTTCAATTTCATATGCAAGATATCAATTTCAAATCTTCATATCAAAGCCAAAATAAATTTTAGTTTTCGAAGGGATATGGTAAATTCACTTACAATACTTTTCGAAGGGATATGGTAAATCACTTACAACACTTTTCGAATGGATACGATAAATCACTTACCTCGTTCAGAAATCATACGAATCTAATTAACTTATCACTTCATAGTTGTCAACTTAGAAACATAGAAACAACGAATATCCAAAATTAATCCTTAAATCCTATCCAAGGATTTAAAATTCAACAAATTACTAACCGAATCTTATCTACCCAATTTTCCCATTCAAAACACTTTTTTATGCAAAATAATTAGGAAACTATGGATTTGAGGCTACAAAACCAGATCTGAAAACTAGGTTAAAAACCCTCTAAACTCAACAATAACAACATTTAAAAATACAAGAATCGGTATAAATTAATACGGACTGAATTTACAAAATGTTTCTCAACAAAACAAGTTTAAAAGCCTTATAATCAATTGAAAATTTGGGGATTTTAAATCTGGAAAATTTAATGTTTTATAAAATAAAACTTCCAAGAATTTTCCATAAAACAATTAACAATTTACTGATTTTTATAGAAAAATCAGATCTGAAAACTGTATAGAAAACCTTTAAAACTTGGTAAAAACATATAATTTTTCATGTAAAAATCATAACAAACTATAATTTATAGGATACAAATAGGTAAACTTTTTATGCAAAAAGAGTCTCAAACCCAAAAACAGGCTCATAAACAAAAAGATTCAAACCAAAAATTCTGGAAAATTTTTAAGGTCAAAAGTGCTTAAAATCTTTTATTCTTTTTTCCTTTTCTTTTTCTCTTGGACAGAAATCTAGGTCTAACAGTTTAAGAAAGTAAAGCCTAGGGTTTAAGGGCTTTTATAACAAACCCTAATGAATACTTATTTAAATTAAATAATAAAAAGACAAAGATTTAATAAAACTTTTCCTTTTATTTTTTAAATTCTAAGAACAAATTCTCTTTTAAAAATAATTTCTATAGCAAAAAGGTTTATCTTTGAGAAAATAAAAGAAAACAACTAAAAAAATAATAATTTAAATATATATATTTTTTAGGTGGTTACAAACTTAATAATTAGTGAATTGAAATTCCCATCCATAGAAGGCGTGTCATGGAATAAGCATTGAAAAATATTGAAATATATGTTGGGAAATTAAAAGTCATGTATAATTTCCCCTTCCACATACAATATCCAAACACGACCACAATATGCAAATAGGAAAAAAAAACTATAAAGCACATGATAAATGACACAGCAGATTATATTGGTTCACGACTAAGAGCTAGGTCCAGTCTTCCACTATGATGTGGGTGACTCACTAATAATTGTTAGGATTGGAATACAAAGCTCTCCCTAGAAATATCCCCTAAATGACCCAACAAAAGCCCCCTAGCTTATAAGTATTTTAATACAACTTGATAAGAAAACAATAGCCAATTGGATCAAAGAACCCTTATGGTTATGCAAACCCCTAGATCACAAGTGCTAAAACCCCCAAATCAAGATGATGTCAACCCAAGGAAGAAGTTAGAACGGATTTAC